TTTATTTTTCTTCTCCAGATTACAAAACTAATTAATTTTTTCCCCAACTTTTTCTAACAGAGTTTCTCTTCTGTTTTTAATTTTTTTTCCAGAATTGTTATTATTTCAAGTAGAAAGTAATTTCTGAAATTTTCGTCGAAACAAATTAGTAATATACATTTATGAGTATTGATAATAATAATAATAATATATTTGTGTATCATTCACTGAAAATGATTTTCATCTCATATCCTGTCAATTAACTATTCAATCAATCCATTTAATAAACCTTTCCATCCATTTAGAGAATAGTCAATTCAAATCTTGATGATTTGTTTTTCACATACGGGGAATCATATCGTTTCTCGATTTACCAATAACGTATTGCTTTTTCAATGTTTGAAAAATGGTGAAAAAGTAATTAAATTTAAGTGCTGGATTCTAAACCATAGAAACTGACTCAATTATCGCTTTTAATGATTTTTGTTTAAACTGTTTATTTTTTAAGAAATCGATTATAAATTATTAAGAGCTTAAGAGAATTTAAGGGAAAGGGGATTAATGGAAAAAAATGATTTGGTAATGCTTTACGAAGGGGGGGTCTTCTCTTGGCCTTTAATTAGTATTCTACCACAGTCCATATATCTGCGGGAACGGAATATTATCGTCGATAGTAATTATTTGACAATTCCAGGAGACATCCTGTTGTGTGACTCTGTGTTCATATCTCTGTTACCTCCCCCCCCAACTTGTCCCTTTTACTGAGAGTGGTACATCATTCCCCTCTCACCTATCTGCCTTCAAAACCCCTTCCTCCCTCCCCTATCCTCCTAGCCTAGTTGTCCCGACCGGTAGTTTCATCCCCATCCAGGCCACCACTCGCCACGAGTATTAACGGATGGTTTCGAGTGGTTTTGGGCGGTTGTGCTTTGCTACAATGGTGTGGGATGACGTTCATCTCATCTCGGTGTTGCACTAATACTGCTACACACAGTGAGTGAGTGGAAGAGAGAAACACATAGAGGAGAAATTCTAGATACATCGCACTCGAGCGTGGTGCCGCACGTTATAGGTGCCACATACGCGTGGCCCGATTTTGTCTCTGCCTGTCCATCCGTCGCTCTGTCCAACCGTTCCGTTTGTCGTTTCGCGAATGCATAGGCCGCCTGGTCCTGTCTCTGCAGATGACCGTTCCCATCATCGAGTATTAACCGCAGGTCCATGCACGGGGCTGCTGTGCGACATTATTAGCCCCAAATGCGATGAACTCGGCAATGGATGACGTTTTCCGTTAGCAGTTGAAAATCTACCTCTTGACATGTAACTCATTTTATTCCATCTATTATAGTAGAAATGAGTTTTTTTCACAAATTTATTTTATTACTATACACAAATTTGCACTCTAGTGGGAAATTAATTCCCCGTGGAATGGGAATTAATTTTCTGTCGAACTTATCGCAATGAAATAAAATTTGGAATTTGGGGAAAAAGCTTATTAGAGATCAGTAGAAGAAAGTTTAATTGGAATTTGGGGGAAAAAGCTTATTAAAGATCAGTAGAAGAAAGTTTAATTTTTAATAACAGTGATACCGAGATATTTTTAGAACGTTTCATGTCCGCTACATAACGGCTTAACAACGTCCAATGTTCTAAAAAAGTTTTTAGAACATAACACGTTTTTAAGACGTTATGTAGCGGAGGTACAGGATAATGGTGCCAGTTTTGGGTTCTTTAAATTCTCAGGCTAATTTTCCTTGAAACTGAGTTTCTTAATTAATGTTTACTGAGATGAATCGATAACTGATTTTATCACCTTTGACGGTGAAACTCTTTTTACTATGTGTTTCAACTGACGACTTGTTTTGATGATTTTTCCAGATGCTACGAAACATCCTGATGGATATTCTTTAATTCTCTGGATATAAATTTTTCTTCTACTGACCATAAATAATTTGTGTTTAATGAACCACTGATTAAATTTCAGGTTGCTGCTAAGCACCTTAATAACAATTCGCTGATTTACTGAATGTAAAATTTTCTTCTACTGATCCTTAATAAGTTTTGTTTAACAAATTTGTGAGTCTCCTTCGAAGCGTCATGATCACATCCGCCGTTTGATGATAATTCGCGTATGCACTGAATGTAAAATTTTCTTCTACTGATCTTTGATAAGTTTTGTTTTACTAATATTGATTTTGAGTCTCCTTTGAAGTACCATGATGACATCCATAGTGAAAGACATCTATCGGATTAATCTTCGATTATATTTGGGAGTTCTTCTATTCTTGTTGATATTCCTTCCACATCTCTTGTACAACTGATCTCCTCAAGAGGTTTTCTTGATCTGATCCTCTCCTCACTTTTGCATCTTCTTTCTTCTTCTTCGTCACTTCGATTTCCGTCTCCTCCTCACCTAGCTGAAAAACTTTATTATTAAGATTGTTATAGAACCATCAGTGTGAATCGTCTCTCTGAATTTATTAAATTGCATATAGAGATCCTGTTCTACTTTATAATACACGTGTTGTTTACATTTTATATGCTGATAAAAATACTACGTCGTATTATTACAATTTGTTGAAGTTCTCAATTGTTGTCACAACTGGTGTGTAATTTTTTGTTAGACATTTTTGATAAACTAGATTGATTCATTGAGTAAGAAAGCGTTTTGCAATTTCGTCTTCAATTTCAAATTGCAATTTGCTAAATTTTGAGAATAGTTCTCCTCAGAAAAGTTATTATTTTCGAGAAGTAGTTGTACAATGACATGTAAATTGCATGAAAACATGTCCACACCTTGGCACATAGGCCAAGATGCATGAATTTATAATTTGAAGTGAGAGAGAGAGAGACAAGAGCGGCGTTCTCCAATGGGGTAATAGGGGAATGAAGGCTTCCAAAGGGAGGTGGAGCACTCGTGTGCATATATCATTGACGAAGGTCTCGAGGTTGAAGGTCCGGTATATTAATTCCCTCTCCATAAATGTCCGACGGAGAGATTGACTACACGCTCTTAAACGACCCGTCGCTCGCTAATATGCATTTGGTAATTCACCGCTCCCAACTTCTTATATATACTTCAAGATGGAACGTCTACCGTTCTTCACTTGAGGTGTAAACCATCAAGCGAGTTTCTTCTTTATAACAATTCAGAGGACCCTCAGAAGCACATCAACTAAAGATGGACAGTTCAAAGACATTTAGGAACATTGTTTTTTCGCCTAAATCTACGAGGTGCTAAACGTTCCCTCAATCTAAGAGAACAATACACCTTTTAACCCTCTGCCCAAAAAAAAAGAAACTCGACTCCTCGAAAAGAAACTGACAATAAAATATCAAACACCATTCTTAACATTTCACATAAATTTCAATTTTATTTTATTCTATTTCCAATGTCAACTTCTTTTGTATATGAGGAATCTAATTTTATGAACAGAATTCCAAAAAACAAAATGCTATTAAAATATTACGATAGCGGAAATAGCTGAACAGAAAGAATAATTCCTCGTCGGTCTGAATGTATAATGATTAATGGATTTTCATAAACTCTTTTCAATTGCTGGTTAAAGTGAAATTACCTGTCAGATATAAATTTACCAGAGGGTATATAGCTTAACCCTGAAACCGTAATAGTTTTAAATGGCAAAGAAGAATTATTTACGAATGTTGATAATTATTTACTAATGTATTTAAAAAAGATCAGGGACGCATATTTCTTTGACAATTCTTAAAAAACATTGTTGAAAATTGAAAAAAAATTCTAATTTTTATTTTACATTTAAATAGAGGAATAAAAATCGAATTGGAAAATTTTGATGAGATCAATATGTTGGACATGAAAACATTCTTTTAGGCAAAACGCATCGCGTACAAGTTTGTCGGAATGGCGTAAACGTCAACGATTTGTAATTGTCTCCCCTTGGTCCACCCTGAACCACCCCGTTGTGTCTGTCAACATGATAACCGGCATCAAACACCCCTGATCCCGCCACCCCCGGGAACTGCAACTGACTGCAAAGCGGTACGGCGTTATATTCTAGTTATATCCCACCTCTGACCCCCTGACTCTCTCGATTCTGATCCTGCGGTATCATCGCTCTCGCCGTGCTCATTGTCCTATTCACATTTCACCATTATTCTCTTCTCAAAAAATTCTTTTTAACGTTTTTTTAGTTTTTCTAAATAAGAATGTGTTGCTCTATATAGTTTTTTAAGGAGTTGTCTGTTTAGTATTTTCACTATCTTTTGGTAATTTTTACAACTCTGAATCAAGAATTTTTAATGTACCTCAACAACGTCTTTTTTTCGACTTGAATTTCGGTGGACATCATATCTTAAGGATGGTTCATGTAAAATTAGTTCATAAAACTAACATTATCTTCTGTTAGAGTCATCTCCAATTTTACTTAATTGTTTTGATGATTTTTCCAAATACTACGAAGCATCTTGATGACTATTCTTTAATCCACTGGATATAAAATTTTCTTCTACTGACCTTTAATAAGTTTTTTAAAAAATGTTTGAGCGATTAATTTGATTCTACTTCGGAGCACTTTGGTGACAATTCGCTGAATGTAAAACTTTCTTCTACTGATCCTGAATAAGTTTTGTTTAACAAATGTTTTAGCGATTAATTTTGAGTCTTCTCGTCATGGTGTTTCTACTTCGAAAAACCATGATGATATCCATAGTGAAAAACATTTATCGGATCCATCCAAGATTGTATTTGGGAGGTCATCTGTTCTTGTTGATCTTCCTTCGACATCTCTTGTACGACTGACCTCCTCAAGGGGTTCTCTTGATCTGATCCTCTCCTCACCTTTGAATCTTACTTCTTCTTCGTCACTACAGCTTCTGACTCCTGCTCACCTAGCTGAAAATCTTTATAATAAAAATTAATTACTAAAGAATTCTGTTTTCATAAAAATGAAACCCATTAATTTTTGCAAAATGTTTCTTGCAACAAAACTATTGATAAATTCCTCCTTGTATTTTTTTTAATTGAAACTATTTTATTACAGGGAAGAGTTTCAGTATAACGATAACGGTATCGACAACTCCACCTCAAGTAGCAACGTACACGCGTGCAATCAAAGTGACTGTCGATGGACCACGAGAACCTCGATCCAAGACGAGTGAGTATAAAATAGGTACATAACTAATGGTACTTTAAAATTTATAGAATTTATAGTGTTTCGTATATAATAATGGACATTCAGTTGTATATCGAGGAGCAATACATGAAATTATTTGGTAGAATATGCATCGATAATAATTTACAGAAAATCCCATGTAGGTAGTAAATGGAAGTCATTATCGAACAGATGGTCAGTATATAGGAGATGATGCAGTTGACCGACGTGCGGCGCGTGGTGCAGCGTATTCCTTTTAAACCTATTCACGTTTTCACAGCGCGTGCTTTTACACGCGCGCACATAACTATCTACAACTATCTGTACAAGTGGCCTTTATGATTTACATGCACACTGAATCGCCTCTTCCTTTACACGAACTAAAGACAATTTATATTTTAAATTCAAAAAAGTGCATTTTTTATCAACCACCATATTTCTTGTCCTAAAAAATGTGCGTCTTTAAAAAAGATGAAAAATACTTCACCTTTTTTCTGAAGTGACATAGACATAAGTAAAAAAAAAAGCGTCAAATTATTATTTTCGATAAAAGTGATTGACACAAACATGAGCATTACTCTTCGCTACTTTAACGCAATGATGAATCTCCAATGCCCTTTTGCTTTGGGACGAAAAACAAAAAAAATTGCTGTCGTTTCGATATCTGATTAATAGACGCTGTCGACTCGACCGCGAGAGAGTCCGCGGCCTGGTTTTGTGGCCATTTCGCATTTGCCAGGATAAAGTATTGATGATCCAAAACGATTTGCTATTCTAGTTCACATATCGTCAAAAAAAAAACTATAAACCGTTCCAGAACAAAGGAACCTTTACACAAATTTTATTTCATTTTTATGTATACCCCATTCCACAATAAAATAAAAATGATATATTGTTTTTTTAAAATCCGCTAAAAGCAAACTAAAAAAAAATGTTCTCTCTAGGAAGAAAAAATAATAATTGATATTCAAATATTAATGGAATTTGAAAAAAAATTTATCTATACGTAAACGTTTGCATTCGTAAATTTTGAAGTCAATGCACTATTGTAGTAGTGCATTAACCCTTTTTTTCAATTTCGGGGACTTTGATTCGCACATGGTTATATAAAACAGGATGCGGAAGTAAAAAAATATGCTCAGCAGCTCAATATCGTGAAAAATTAACGTGTGCGCAATAACATAAGACTGTGGGTGTATTTTCGCATATTGAATAATATAATAAAAATTAATAATCGTCCGCACGCGACTACCCTCCTATTTTCTCTCTCTTTTCTTCTGACGCACACATACATGCATGGAAGAAATTCGACCCTTTCGTGGTAAAACCGACTCAGAATAGAATATATATATATACAAACTCAAATTGCCGAAATTATATCGTACAATAAGAAAATAGAGTAAAGGTAAACTAGTTTTTAGAAGAGAAAACAAAATAGTGAAACGATTTTGGTATATAAATATGTATACATATATATGTGGAATAACAAAAAGGATCGGGAGTTGGGACAATTATATGCGAATATAATGATAGGTAGCAGGTGTTTGCAGACCTCAGCGTCACATTGTTCTCGTACAATGAAGCGTCGGTTGTTGGCCGACGGCAACTTGTACACGGTATTACATTGTTTAGATGCGTGATCGCAAATACCCCCCTCCTCTTCTCCCTCTCCACAGTCACTGTGTATGCAATATGCTGTCCTTCGTGTCTTTCTGACAGACTGTCAAAATTTCTTTTTATTTTTACAGTTCGTCAAACTTGTAGCCGTTGAATCTTTGGGGAGACGTAATCTTTTATTTTGCCCGACTAGGTGAAACAATAATGAGACTTAGATTATCTCGAGACGTTCGAAAATAATATGCCAGTGAGGAGGAATAATATCCCTCTCCACATTTTTTGGTATTCGATATTTTTTAGTTTGTTAAATCCGTTCTCGTTACTTTAATTAATTAGATTAAATAAATTTGGTTGTTTCGATGATTTTTCCAGATGTTACGAAGCATCTTAATAACGATTCTTTAATTCACTGGATATAAAATTTTCTTCTACTGATCATTAATAATTTTGGTTTAACAAACCATTGATTTAATTTCAGGTTGCTGCTAAGCACCTTGATGACAATTCGCTGATTCACTGGATAAAATTTTCTTCTACTGATCTTTAATAAGTTTTGTTTAACAAATGTTTGAGTGATTGATTTTAAGTCTACTTCGAAGCACCATGATGACATCCATAGTGAAAGACTTCTATCCGATTCATCTTCGATTATATTTGGAAGTTCATCTGTTCTTGATGATCTTCTTTCCACATCTCTTGTACGACTGACCTCCTCAAGGGGTTCTCTTGATCTGATCCACTCCTCACCTTTGTATCTTCCTTCTTCTTCTTCTCCTTCTTTTTCTTCTTCACTTCGACTTCAGTCTCCTGGACAAGTTCCTAAAAAAATGCTAAAATTAATTAATTAATATGAAAACAAAAATTGAAGTGGATGCATTTGCTTTGAATGACGCGAATTGAAAAAAAAATTATCAGGAGTAATCTAGAATTTTGTGGAGTATTAATTTTCCGTCCAGAGAATCTGTCAGGATGAAAAATAAAGTTTGAATGACAGAAGGGAAATGGAGAGGGAAACAAGAAAAGTCTCGCCGTACTTCCGTTTGAAGAGACCGGCACACTTCTGATTAGATAAGCTTGTCACTTGTGACACGTAAAACACAAAATTAGAAATGCATTTCAAATGAATTGTAACTTTCACAAAGGTGTTAATATTATTTATTTAATTTCGAAAACAGTGACCTTGGTATGCAACAAACATTCCAGAACAACGTCCCATGAGATAAAAAAGAAGTAAATAAATCCCAAAGAGAAAAATAATACACAAGACAAACGGAAGTGTTACAAGATGCAAAGAATGAGAAGAAGTTTTGTATCTCGAGATATGTTTTTTTCTCTCAAAAATTACAAACTTCCTGGCATCCGGTTACGTGAGTAATCGTGGGATCCATTTGAATTGCCCTTTCGTCCCATCTTTTTGGCCTCTTTTCTCCTTCCATCTTATTGGCGTTTTGCGCGCATCATCCCTTTGCTGTGAATGCAACCATTAACAGTCAGTAGCATGGAATAATATACAAGTATCGAGACCAAGCAAAAGCAAAGAGCCTTGACCATCTGGAACGCTCTTTCTCTCTCGCCAACAATTTCGTGCAGTTTGCGGTCGAACTTTATTTGTCGCTAGCAGGAGGTGTCTCTCAACCGAGTGAATATTACAATTTGCGTCCTAACTCTTTTCTTATGAATCAACATTTTATCCCTCCTTGATATATTAAATTGACAAAATCTAGAAGAAAAATTTAATTTCCGGTATACTGGAATAAAATAATAGATGATATTTCAAGATTCTGAAATTTTAGTATCAAATTAGGATATCAATATCATGAATAGTATACTATAGTTATGGATTTCGGGAGATTTGCCTAGATAATATGCGAGGAATTCTATTGAAGTTACATAGACTACTGAGTGATCGACTTTCTTCAATTACGCCACTCAATGGAGTTAATTACTCAAACACGTTCTCAATTTCTCGACAATTACAACAATGTGCATATTGACAGATACTCGATTAATTGTTCTTAGCTAGTAAGCAAAGAATTTTTATTCTTTAAAATATCTATTAGAATTATCTATTTCTGAATAAATATACATTCATATTATAATCAGAAATATTTTGAAATTAATTTTTCCAGGACAGCAGCATCAACAATTTCGTGCTGTAGGTCTAGGACAACGACCATATCTCGACGCTCCATCGTCATTTACATCCCACCTTCGGGAACTAGAATCCTATCGAAGAATCAAACATCACCATCATCATACGTCCCATATGCACGGTCAGCAAACCGGGAATGGAGCTTCGAGTACCGGAAATGGTTCATGCAATAACCCCAATAACGTAAACCGAACAACGTCACCCTCCTCTGGCGTTCACTTAGCGACGACTGAGGGATCATCCGTGCATCAGGACTGCTACAAACACAGTCCTCAACATGGAGGTAATGATTTTTATCTCAAAATGGAAATTAAACTCTACATAATTAAAGAGTAATTTTTAATATTTTTTTTAAAAGAGAATTTCTAGACTAAGAATTATTTGGACATTTCTATCAAAGTGATGGATATTTGTCATACGTCATATTCAAACTGTCCAAGTTGAAAAATAGTTCTTCTGGCAATATCCATACCGCATCAAAGTAGATCTCCTATTTTTTTATTGTCATTCCTACAATTGAAAACTTCAATCAAAAAAACTTGAGTAATTTTTTTTATGATCGTGAGTAGAAAAAAATATTTATCGATTTTTTTTTTTGCAATGAAATGAAGACAATCCGTTTGGTCCAGAGACTCAAATAATCTCACTCTCTCAAGTCAATATGCTCATAGCGAGAAAGGGGGGCTTTGCCGTTTCGCGAGGTAATAGTTTCATACCTCGTTCCGGCTCTGCACCCTCTAATTCAACGTAATAACGACATTCAACCTGCTGTTTCATCTTCCTTTTTGTCCCTCTTTCTCTATCTTTCTTTCGCTCTTTCTTGTTTGCCTCTTGTGCATCACGGAAAGTGTCCCATTCCCCTCGACAACTATTTAGACCTCTCTCGAAACATTATATATATATACTACCAAATAGTGTGCTAGAGTTTTGCCGGCGATTCCTGGTCGATAATTCAGTGGTGCAACAAAAAAAAAGAGCAGAAGAAAAAAAACAGGAGGAGAGAAGGTCGAAAGGATTTTTTCGCCTGCCGAGGTTCGTCTCGCATCATCGGTCCCGACCTGATCAAAGTTAAGTAGACGCGCCCCTGTACTAGTCGCTGCTGGCAAGAAGACCTCTTTGAAGCTGCGTTGCGGTTTCTCTGTACCCCGATCCCTCCCCCCCAATCTCCTTTTTCCTCTTGTTCATCGCGCGCCTTGCCCTCGACATACCCCCCCTCTCAAATGTTTCCCCTCCCGGAAACAACCGCGCGCGGTCTCCAAGATCGTCCACTCTTGTAATTACCTCGTTTACCCCAGTGGATTTTACATTTTACGCTTGTGGATCATCATTTCAGAAAAAGATAATTTTATTTTTCAATTATTCCGCTGAATTAGTTAATTCGGTTAGTGGTGTTAACATACATTTCAGAAGGGGAATCTCATTTTGGAATTTTGATAATGGAAATTACGATCTGTTTGCGGGGAGATGTATAGCAGAAAAATATCCTCTATTAGGTTTATGAATTTTACTAATCAGAGGACAGTTAACTTTGTTCCACTAAGCATTTGATTTAATTTTACTGTGCTGCTAAGTTTGATGATAATTCCCTAGTTCACTGGATGTAAAATTTTCTTCTACTGACTTTTAATAAGTTTTGTTTAACAAACTTTTAAGCGATTGTTTTTGAGTCTCCTTCGAAGCATCATGATGACATTCGCCGTTTGATGATGATTCGCGGATTTACTGAATGTAACATTTTCTTCTACAAATCTTTAATAAGTTTTGTTTTATAAATATTAATTTTGAGTCTCATTGGAAGTACCATGATGACATTTATCGGGAAAGACATCTATCGGATTCATCATCGGTTATATTTGGGAGTTGTTTTGATCTTGTTGATCTTTCCTCGATATCTCTTGTACGACTGACCTCCTCAAGAGGTCTTCTTGATCTGATCCATTCGGTGCCTTCGCATTTTTCTACTCCCCTCTTCTTCTCCTTCTTCCTTCGCGAATCACCTTGATGACAATTCTTTAATTCACTGGACATCTTCTATTTTCTTCTAACAAACCTTTGATGCAATTTGACTTCGCTTCTAAAAGATAATTAATCTGAATTGAAGTTAAGTTTTCTTAAACTATTCAGCTAGGATAAGTTAACTTTTCAAAAGTAAAATATTTCAGTACCAGATTGACAAACCATTATTATTTCTATTCACCTATTTTCTCACCTCCTTTTCCTCACCCCAAAGACCTAAAGCATAATCATCTTGTATAGTGCGAAATGATTGCGTGAGCGTTGGTGGATGTAATTTTCTCGTGTCTCTCATTCCACTGACCAATTCCGATCTGACATGATCATATATACAGTCTCACGTACACTTCTGCGTAATACCAGGGATCCTGTGATCGATATCGAAACGGCGATCGATACCTTGGATCCATGTTGTTTTTGCCCTTCAGCAATAAACTTCTTCTTTTGTCTTACGCCTCGCTTCGCTTATTGCAATAGCTGCTGACTGAAAGTGAAACTAAATCCAACCAACAGTTCCATTCATCCTCTCTCTACTCTTACAAATTTTTATCCTCTCATTCGTTCGGTCAATTTTTTTTGCCTCTGTCCTAAATCTAAATACTAAAAAAACACTTCTTTCATAATTTTCGAAACTGCAAAAAAAAGAGATAACAAAGAAAAGTTTTTGTTTAAAAATAGTATTATCCGCGGAGACAACAGTATTACAAGAGATTCTTTTGCCAGAGGGTAGAACGACCTCGAAGGTAGTGAGAAAAAAAGGGAAGTGAGCATTATTTCTGTCTCTTATAATATAACCGTGTCCGTTCTTCATCTCTTTCTCTCTTTATTTTTCTTGAGTCTCATCTCGAGTCGTGATCGGTGTAATGAGCCCTGGCAGTGGCAGCAATGAGCGGATATTTTTCACGAGGCAGACAAAGAACAAGCATAATCAGTGAGAGACAAGGGAGGATCTTTGAGAGAAAATAAGAGAAAGAGAAGGAGGAGGAGGAGAAGGAAATGAAAAGAGAAAAAGATGAGGTATCAGGAAGACAAGTGTACAATATAATATGAAGAGCGAGAAGCCGCTCTTGATGGATACAACTGCAAAGAAAAGAAGGGGTATATAAGGACGCTGATTATGGGGTGTCAAACAATCACAAATGATTGTACATTCTGACTCCTTCTGTCTGCTTCTACGTCTACGTTTTTGTATACATGTATATATGTATATAATGCAAGAACCAAATCTTCTTTCAATCTTTTCCTCAATCTCTTTCACTATAACTAAAATAACCTGGTGCTAAAAGCATCTTGTTGAACCGATTACCGACTGTTCTTTTCAATCCAGAATTTATTGATTGATTTTGATGATAGTCGATCTAATAGTTGTAATGTTTTTGTGCTTTCAAAATTATCCTAATTTGGCTCCTGGGGCATGGGTGCTGAAAATAATCTGTAGCTCCTGATTGTGCTATTTTTGTCTATTACGGAGTTTTATTGGACTGACGTCCAATAAAACTCCGTAATAGATAAAAATTATTCTTGGCTTCTCAAGAGCAGGAGCCGCAAAGGCACCTATTAGTATTCGCTAAGATGGTATTATTTTTGTGAATTGAAAATTTCTTCTACTGACTTTTAATAAGTTTTTCTGTCGAGAAATGCAAATTGTACTTCTGAATATTATTTGCCAAATCTGGAATTTAAGTAGGATCTCGATTGGAGGAATTGCTTCTGTCTGAAGTGAAGAAACCTAAATTCAATTTTTAATTTTGGTTCTGCTGATTTGGAGAAAGCAGAAGGACCCGCAAAGGGATCGGAATTCACTAAGGTGTTTTGGGGAATTAAAATTTTCTTCTACTGACTTTTAATAAGTTTTTCTGTCGAGAAATGCAGCAAAGGCACCTATTAGTATTCACTAAGGTGGTACTATTTTGGTGAATTACAATTTTCTTCTACTGACTTTTAATAAGTTTTTCTGGCGAGAAATGCTAGGTGTTCTTCTACTGAATACTTCCATTTGACAAATCTTGAATTTGGTGCCATCTGGCGGTGGCGTCCCCTAACTATTCTTCAGACGACTCTTCAGTGTTATCTGCTTAACGTTCACCATTTGACTGACGATTTCTGCCGTCCTGCATAAAGATAAGGGGAAGGAGAAGAAGAAGAGGAAGAAGGAGCCAAAGAAGGAGCTCCCTGAAGGAATACAGTGAAAGAATTCTTCACCTATTTACCCAGCGTCAGACATTAGCAAACCAAAAAGACAAAATAGAGTAATAGAGGTCGCAGTAATAGAGGTCGCAGTAATAGAGGTCTAAAGAACGATTTTCGCCTTTCTCACGTGCCATTCCTCTTATACCATTTTGCAACTCTTTTTTCTCTTTTCCATCTCCCACACCTTCAGTTAGCTAGTTTATAATTTTTTTTCCTCTGTCAAATTGTCTATCATTCTTCACCACGAGGTTTACATCTAAAATTATGCGACAGAATTGTCTCTCTCTCTCGTTTCGCATTCTACTCTTTTTATTTCGAAAGATTGTTTGCTGAGAATTGCAAGTCGAGTCGAGTTGCAGTCAGAAAAGATGAATGAAAGGAAGGACGAGTAATAGATTTTCCTAGTAAGGGATATTGTGAAAAAGCCCAGACTAAATACTAAGTACATTACAATAAATTACAGTTACAAATAAAAAATTGAAATTTAATTATAAATTAGTGAAAAATTGAAACTTGGAGAAGAGAAAATTTTTATTTAGCGGAATTTTTATTGCTATCTGTCTAATTCTGGAATTTAGGCTTCTAAAGCGCTAATAACCTCGTGATAGGTTATGATAGGTTGTCGAGCTGCGACGCAAGGGTGTCGCAATAGGAGTGTGCATGACACTTTCCTAATTACCTCTCAACCCTCTTTAAGAAAGTAACCCTTATTCACTACTTACACGCACAAACCATCGTTCTTGAAACAAAGTTTCGCCTTTTAGTGGTACACCATTGTACCGAGCTACTTATTTTCCCCGTCTTTTTTTTCACATGTTTCATTATTACTAAACCCCTGAGAAAATCGACCCTGAAAGAGTTAACTTTCCACAACTAAGTATCTTTAACTCGTATTGCATCATACCCCAACTTTTTAAAAAAAGTTTTCAAGTGTAAGTAATTTTTTTCTCTCATCTAAAGTAATAATTTTTCTCTAATAAAAAAATTTTTTCCTACTCTTGGGAGTAAATAAAAAGCTAAATAAAATAAAATGCTAAATAAAAAAAAAGAAAGCTAAATAAAAAGCTGAATTAAATTTTA